TATAACAACATAATTCACTAATTGACAGTAATATCCGCTAATATAGGTTCAGATAAACAAACCATAATGATTTTTAAAACTAAATAAAAGAAATACTCATATAACAATATAATTCACTAATTGACAGTACTATTCGACTAATATAGGTTCAGATAAACAAACCATAATGATTTTTGAAACTAAATAAAAGAAATACTCATATAACAACATAATTTACTAATTGACAGTAATATCCGACTAATATAGGTTCAGATAAACAAACCATAATGATTTTTGAAACTAAATAAAAGAAATACTCATATAACAACATAATTTACTAATTGACAGTAATATCCGACTAATATAGGTTCAGATAAACAAACCATAATGATTTTTAAAACTAAATAAAAGAAATACTCATATAAAAATATAATTCACTAATTGACAGTATATCCGACTAATATATGTTCAGATAAACATACCATAATGATTTTTAAAACTAAATAAAAGAAATACTCATATAACAACATAATTTACTAATTGACAGTAATATCCGATTAATATAGGTTCAGATAAACAAACCATAATGATTTTTAAAACTAAATAAAAGAAATACTCATATAAAAATATAATTCACTAATTGACAGTACTATTCGACTAATATAGGTTCAGATAAACAAACTATAATGATTTTTGAAACTAAATAAAAGAAATACTCATATAACAACATAATTTACTAATTGACAGTACTATCTGACTAATATAGGTTCAGATAAACAAACTATAATGATTTTTGAAACTAAATAAAAGAAATACTCATATAACAACATAATTCACTAATTGACAGTAATATCCGCTAATATAGGTTCAGATAAACAAACCATAATGATTTTTAAAACTAAATAAAAGAAATACTCATATAACAACATAATTTACTAATTGACAGTACTATCCGACTAATATAGGTTCAGATAAACAAACCATAATGATTTTTGAAACTAAATAAAAGAAATACTCATATAACAACATAATTTACTAATTGACAGTACTATCCGACTAATATAGGTTCAGATAAACAAACCATAATGATTTTTGAAACTAAATAAAAGAAATACTCATATAACAACATAATTTACTAATTGACAGTAATATCCGACTAATATAGGTTCAGATAAACAAACCATAATGATTTTTTAAACTAAATAAAAGAAATACTCATATAACAACATAATTTACTAATTGACAGTACTATCCGACTAATATAGGTTCAGATAAACAAACCATAATGATTTTTAAAAAATTAGATAAAAGAAATACTCATATAACAACATAATTCACTAATTGACAGTAATATCCGACTAATATAGGTTCAGATAAACAAACCATAATGATTTTTGAAACTAAATAAAAGAAATACTCATATAACAACATAATTCACTAATTGACAGTAATATCCGACTAATATAGGTTCAGATAAACAAACCATAATGATTTTTGAAACTAAATAAAAGAAATACTCATATAACAATATAATTTACTAATTGACAGTATATCCGACTAATATAGGTTCAGATAAACAAACCATAATGATTTTTAAAACTAAATAAAAGAAATACTCATATAACAACATAATTTACTAATTGACAGTACTATCCGACTAATATAGGTTCAGATAAACAAACCATAATGATTTTTGAAACTAAATAAAAAGAAATACTCATATAACAACATAATTTACTAATTGACAGTACTATCCGACTAATATAGGTTCAGATAAACAAACCATAATGATTTTTAAAACTAAATAAAAGAAATACTCATATAACAACATAATTTACTAATTGACAGTACTATCCGACTAATATAGGTTCAGATAAACAAACCATAATGATTTTTAAAACTAAATAAAAGAAATACTCATATAACAACATAATTTACTAATTGACAGTACTATCCGACTAATATAGGTTCAGATAAACAAACCATAATGATTTTTGAAACTAAATAAAAGAAATACTCATATAACAACATAATTTACTAATTGACAGTACTATCCGACTAATATAGGTTCAGATAAACAAACCATAATGATTTTTGAAACTAAATAAAAGAAATACTCATATAACAACATAATTTACTAATTGATAGTAGTATCCGACGTTGCCACCTACAGTTTTACTGCTAAAAATGCCCCTGTGACTTTTATAAAGAACTTCAGTACGAATTCCCTAACATCTATACTAAACGTTTGGTGACTGCTTACAAAAGGAATAAAAATCTGAGTAACGTTCTTGTCCATGATTAGATTAGATGTTCTTTCATGAACTCCCTGAGACAATCGCTTTGTATATCTGAATTATTTGTTTATCTTGTAAATCCTTCCAGAAGTAGGTAACTTTCTATCAAATTGGTGAATTCCAATGCTGAAATCCAGAGTCCCTACTTGTGACCTGCGTCAGCGCTTCTATAAGATAGTATCTCTTATAAAACCGTATACTAATATGGGGTGAGATAAGAAAACCATAATGATTTTTAAACTAAATAAAAGAAATACTCATATATAACCATAGGGCCTATACAATATTAAAGGGATTGTAATTTTGTATGTGTATCAGGGACACTGATATCTTCAATTTGCACTATTCCAATTTCATTCAGACTAATCGCGATATTATACGATAAGTGACGTCATGATACATTTATTTTTTGTGGAATAGCAGAATCATCTGGAATGGTGCAAATTAATGCTACATATTTTTTTTATAGAAAACCTCTTTATAACCCCTTTCACCACTAACTACCACTAACAATATGAAAAATAAAGTGCGCATGGAAACAAATTTATTTGATCATAGTTTGCAAGTGGAGTCCAACCAGACCTGCATGATCCCAAATTCTATACAGGAAACAACGCGCATAACCTACTTACCTGAATCAGATCACGAACTCAGTTGACCGCCATGACTTAAATAAAACTACAGTTTTGATCCAAAACACGTAAGATTCACACGTAAAAGAAAATAAAACAATAGTATAAGTCAAAAGAATATTTTTCAAGGTCTAAATACTTTGATTAAAAAAAAATCACCTACATGTGATGTAAAGGCTTAGTTGAAATATTTATAATCTTTCTTTACAAAAAACAACAACAAATAGACGGAATTTGTCTGGCGTAGTGATTTAAATATCGGTCAACTAAGTCCATGTCAGTTATTTCTTTGTAAGAATGACGCATGGTTTCGTATGACCCAAACTTCTCTTATTGAAGACAATAATTTTTATATTTGTTAGAATTTTATACATTGCTTATTATTCCTTGGTACTTACAATCGATTTTTTTTTACTTTTTCATTCTTTTTTATGCGATATTTTTCTTTAATAAACTATATTCATTAAATTGTGTATCATTAATGATGATAATCTGGGAGTGAGAAATACAGCTATTGTTGAAAATCTCTTGAAAATCAGACTGTTAGTGAAAATGTATTAGCTCAGAAATAGGGAATCTTAAAGGGACAGATGCACCATTTTTGTTTACCAATTGTAGCTAAGCCGATTAGTATAATAGTGTTCACAGCTCACCGTGAAAATTTGAGCCTTCAAATCCAAGTGTATCGCGTTTAAATGTTGAAATGACGACTCGTTATTTAGATACTTTGTGATACATGAAAAGACATATGTAGAAATAGTGAGTAAAATTCCTAGTTTGGAGTGTTTGGAGGAATTATTCGATTTTCTGACAGAACTTCTGAACACTATACATTTACTCAACACTCATATCAACTCCTCAAATTGGCGCAGTTGTCCCTTTTAAACGAGTATTGAT